CACTAAAATGAATGGCCTATGTTAATTGGGATGAAAAAATACTTTCTAGGTTGTGTTTTCTTTTTTGTGATTGTTCATTAGAATGAAAAGAGTGTATATTTCAAAATTTGGATCAAACAAATGGCCATAACATGGTTTTTGAAGGTTGTTGCATTATACTACTATACAACCGTTGCATGAAATCATTGCTCATATATATATGCTAACCATTTGAAATGGCATACAAGCTAGGTGTTAGAGGAAGGTGATTTACACATTTTCTATTGTTGCGGTGTTATGATCTGTAGAACTTATTAGTTTTACCCTTTCTAGGTTGTGGGTTACGATCTTGTAGTCTTAATTTGTTAAAAGCTCTGGATTCATGGAAAACTTGGGTTTGTTGTGTTCTAATTGATAATTTCTTGACCAATGTTGTCTGTTGTGTTTCAACTTATCGAAGTTTCTAACAACTGGTTGAATACTTTCAATTGCTTGATCTTCAGAGCATCAATTTTAGCCTCACTACTAACAAATTTCTTCCTCTCTCCTAGTTCCACTTCTCTCTGTCTTTCTCTCTATGCAAATCCCTGCAAAAACCCCAATTTCCTTGGCTTCCCAATCTCTGCAAATCCCTGTGAAACCCCTAATCTCTGAGACCCTGTAATCTCTCTCTCTCTCTCTCTAAATGTTTATTAAAGGATAAGGTTATGGGGAGTTTGCTTACTCATCTATTTAGATGAGTCCTCCCTCCAAAATCCATTTGAGAGATGGATTTTGGATAAAAAAATTTTTGGTGTCCATAATGTCTGCCATAGCTAACATGAATAATAAAAACGAAAATAAATATTAAAAGGGATTGTATAAGGAGTCACAATCATTCGTACCTATTGGATGTGAAATTTAAGGGATTGAAATGTGTTATAATATTCAAGAAGTTATATTTTGGACTTCGTGCCTAGTCAATGAAGCATCCCCAGCCACTCAATTTTATATTTAAAAGTCAATAATGATTCTGATCTCCCGATATCAAAAATAAATAGTGTCATTTCATATATCTCCATATTAAAAATAAAGAAAGTATTTTTTGGGCATATTTCTTTTTGGGCATATTTCTTACACCATCTATTTTGGATTTTGATGGAGCCACAATTTTACCCCATGTGTCTTTAAGATGGAAATTTGCTGAGGCAGCTCTCGAACTGCGTCCCCCAATGCACTTTTCCATAACTAAAAGGTCCAGTTTTGGGTTCTTCAAGGGTATTCTAGTAATTTTACATATAATAGAAAGAGATTTAGAGCCGTTAGAGCATAGTTGCGGGGACCTTGGGAATGGCCACAGTCCCACCTTGGGAACTCGACCCTACGGTTCTTTTAAGAGATCTTAGAGGGAGCTAGGTTTAGACAAGTAGGGATCTTGCTCCCTATAAAATGGGATCTCGATCTATATTCTTGTACTCTCCAAGGAGAGGAGCTATACTATTAACTAAACTATTGCTCCTTTGTATTATAGATTTGTTTCTTTAGAATATGTTAAACTATGATGCATATCACATCATGGTATGCTAGAAATATGATATTAAAAAACTACAATTTAATATCATAGTAAGCTTATTTACGATATTGTAAATTGTATTTTTGTAGTAAATTGGAGTACCATTCCTATGGCATTGGTAATAACAGTGTTCTCTGACTTGGCTCGATCAGTGCTTCACAGAGTTGGTAAATTTTTTTTCCTTCTTGTACAATATTACTATTATACATATTTTTGGGGCAATGTCTTCTTCTCAATCTTCTAGTAATAACGATCCGGCTTGAAAATATGCTAAACTAAAAAATCCCAAAGATAGAAATGTTGTGATATGCTTGCTCTATGGAAATACTAGGTGGATAACTGGATATAGAATCTCCGACAGCTAATAGTTTTGAAGTTAATCATTAAACTAAAATACCTACTACTATCACATATATCACCTTCATATTTTTTTCTATGCATCAACTTATTTTTTTAGGCTTTTTAGAATTTTTTAACGTTTATTGACTGCATCATCGCGATGCACCCACATCAGGGCCGCATCGAGCCGCATCGGCCCCCCACCACATCAGGGCCGCATTGGCCCCCCACCACATCAGAGCCGCATCCCGCATTTTAAAACACTGCTAGCTCATTGACTTGTTGAAAGTATGAAAGTCGATCCTAACCCCAGGGAGCTTCCACCTTATGGCGGTTGGGCATTCCCTGAACCAATCCCGCTCCCGCCTTCAATAACTATGCATTATACTATTACATGCACTTCTTCTTTAGTTTTTGGAAGGCATTTTAGTAATTGTACGTATACTAAAGGTCAAATTTTCCTATTAGACCAGACTTTCTGAAACCCTACTCTATCACCCAACTCCTGTATTTCTTTAGGCTGCTATTCTCTCTTATCAATTCCTTGTTTCTTTGCTGCCAAGATTCGATCTTCGCTGCTACCTCTGTAGTGCAATGATCAAGAGCTGCAATGAAGGTTTTATACTTGGAGAAGCGATCAACCACAACTATGATTTCAGTCATTCCATCCACCTTAGGTAAGCCATCGATGAAGTTCATCGAGAGGCTAAACTATAAGCCATTAGTGATAGGAAGGGGTTCTCGTAGTCTGGCTTGCTTCTGTCGATTTGTCTTATCTTGCTGACACACCAAGCAAGTTTGGACATAGTGCTTGACATCCTCCTCCATCTGAGGCCAGTAGAAGGTGTTGGATAAGAGGGCTAGGGTCCTATCCTGAATAGGGTGGCCCTCTGTGTCATGGCATTCCCTCATCAGCTCCTTTCTAAGTTCTCCCCATCGAGACACACATGCGTCTGCCTTTGGCATAGAGGATGCTACCCTCTAGCCAAAAGCTTTTGGTGCGTTCCTCCTGTACATGCTGCGTCAACTCCTGGGACACTAGTTGTTAGAGGCACTTCTTCTTTTACACTGTTAGAGGAACTTTGGAGGGCATTTTAGTAATTGTATGAATATAAAAGCTCCAATTTTCCTCCTTGACCAAGCTTTTTGGAACCCTTCATTGTCTAGCGGCTATTGTCTCTTATCAATTCCTTGTTTCCTTTGCCACTAAGATTCGATCTATGCTATCTGATTACCGTTGTCTTGCCTTTGACCAAAGTTATACCCCTTCGAGGAGTGAAGGTATTCACTTCTTTTAGATTTTCTCTTGAACCTTAATGCCTTTTTGAGTTTTTTTTTTTTAACTAAGTTTTGTCTGCTGTCCTGTTATTTCCAATTTGATGTGAATGTAGGAGGAGAAAAATTGGTCGGAAAATTCAGAACTTTTGTGTGCTCTGATAAGTTTGGGAGTTGGATGCATGTTTATGTGTAGGGTGAATTTGTCAATGTTCTTTTGCTTTCTCATATTTCTTATTTGATTATTATTTTTTGGTTGGATCATGATTTGATGAGTATTGTTCTGACGAAGCTTGGTGTTGATTTATTTCTAGGTAGGGTTTTGCACATTCAAGATGAAGAATTAGGGTTTCCTTTATTTGAATGAAAATTAGAGAGAATTGTTTTAGTTAGGGTGTGCATTCAAGAGAAAGACTTAGGCTTTCCTTTATTTGAATTAAAATTAGGGATTTTTCTATTTTCCTCGTCTTTTTTTTTTGAAGTAGGATTTTTCTATTTTCCTCTTCAGTTTTATCTTTAAATAAATTCCATCTAATCTCCTTTTTCTTTATTTTTTATTGTTTTGAATTTTAATTTCCTACTGACTGTGAAAGTAGTGATTCTTTCCTATGCAATTTGATGCAACTAACTGTTGAATTTTGGGTCTTCGATATATGTTGGGTGTAGCCGAACTGTGACAATGATTCTTGAAAATATATAGGGTTTAATCCTTCTCAATGGGTTGAATTAATTTTATGAACTAATATCCAGTTGCTGGTTCTAAATTTGTGTTTCGAATTCAAATAGATGATAGGGATATTCTACATTATCTAAGGCATGATAAACTATTTTAAAACATCATCAGTTATTAGTTTCTATTTGTGTTTTTGAGTAGTAGCATGACTAATAAATTTTATCTGGATTAATCATGATATTGAGTTACTCTTTACCCGAAGCTTGCATTTTGTATTTAATTCTTCTTAGCCATATGGTTTACCTCTGTTGGAATATTTAAGCATCTTTCGTTTTGATGTTAAATACTGATGAAGTTTCTACTCTAGTTTTTTTCTCAAACCACTATTGTTTTGATTTATTGTCTGGAAATTGAGATGTATATGATATCATTTGTGAATTATTCATTGAGTTTTAGTTGGAACAAAAGAAACAAGGTTCATGTTGATAGGGTAGATATTCATATAATAAAACTTCTTATCAATGTAGGCAAGTAATAGAACATAGTTTATTTTTATATTTGTTATCTGAATGTGGAATTTTATCCAGGAAAGTGCGATGAATTTTAGGCCCATTTGTTCTTTCTTCCTTTCTACTGATGCCTTCTAGTTTATAAATTAGGCCATTATTTACCAGAAAAGAGAAATATCATGTAGCTTATCTTTGTCAAGTATGACAATGTAATGTGTGCTTTATTTTAAAGTGAGTTGTTAATATTTGTTAATGAACTTCAATTGTTGATAGTGTGTACCATTGTTAATGAACTTCATTGGATTCTTACATAGTTCAGTATGGACCATTGCTTTTTATTTTGGTTTGGATCCCTTTTGAAAGACTTTTTGCATGGGAACTTTCAGGTCTATCATTTATTTTGTTCCACAATCTAATTTGGCAAGCTTCAAAGACATTTATTGACAATGCGGGGACACGATCGGATTGTAAGTATTCTACAGAAATATACTCAAATATACTTTTTGTTTTTCTTTTGCAATGTGAATTATTTGTGTTTTTGACAGCAAGATTGCATTTTTAACTTTGATTGATTATTTTTTTCATTCTTGTGTTTTGGATCTTAAATTCATTCCTTTTGTAGGATTCACACAAGAACCATGGAAACTACTCCAGAGATCTCGATGAATACGAAGATGATGAGGAGGACCAAGAGGATGAACAGACCGAATATGAGGATGCAGCTCAGGAAGAAGAGGAAGAAGATCCTCAAATAGCCAAGGAACAAATGGAATACATTGAGAGGAGGGAAAAGTTAAAGGAAATGATTCGGCAACAAATGAAGAAGGAAACAAATGCCACTCTTGGCCTTTCACAAGAGAAGAAGATCACCCTCCCTAAAGACAAGTGAGCTTCATCTCTTCACTTAATTCTAATTACTTTGTTCGTTGACTCCCTGTTATGATCAACTTATTGTGTATTAATATAATAACAAATCAAGAGGAAAGAAATGGTTGTACAATTTCCAGGAAAAGTTGTTCGAAGGAAATTGGTTAGCCTAAAAGGCAGAGAACACATTAGCATTTCTATGATTGTATATATGCCTTTGTATTTTAAATGATTCTAATAGTGTCATATTTATTGCAATTATTTAGAACTCCACATCAATCATGCTATAAACCTTGGCAATGTACTAAAAATGATCAAACTTAGAAGTAGAAAAATGCTAACAAACTAGTAAAGGCTAAACTTAAGGCATATGATAATGGGTGTGGTTTCTATAAGGTTGCAATCTTAAACTATCCAATTAAGGCGCACCTCCAAATTTTATTATAACATGTAATTTTGGTGTAAAATATTCTTAGGATTATTTGAACATCTATTTTCATATCTCATTATAAAATTTTAAAATCCAAAAATGGTTAAAATCAAGAAAATCTATAAATATATGAAAATCTTGAAATGGACGGTCTAATATAGCATTGGTTAGGAGGTGCAATTTGGTTCAAGTGGAAGGCTCTAAATGGGCAAGGAAAGACCCAAAAAAGATATGGATGAAAATAGTGAGAAAGCATATGGTGACTTATGGTCTTATTAAAGATAGGGCTGTTGATAAAGGAAAATGACAGAACTAAACTCATGTAGCCTACACCAAATAGTTGCGATAAGGCTCGAATGATGATGAGTAAGAAATCCACATAATCCTATGCTTTTTTTGGATCCTGGGTAAAATTTTACGTGTTTTTATAAAAACCAGGTCCTCTAGAGAAAAGACTGTTTAAGAAGCTTTTTCTCTCTCAAGACCCAGGTTTAATATTACTTGTAAAGACTTGGTTTTCAAGTGTATGTAATTTTTCTATCCACGTAATCTAAAATATACCCAGGAGTTTAATGGATATAACATTCAGGCTCTTTCATGAGTAGGAAAACCATTACCTTTATATGATAGTCTACTTTTTAAAATGTGGTAGGACTTCTATCAGTGATCTTGTGTAGCAAACGCCTAATCAGAGAGCTCTGATATATAATGGTCATCCCTCACAAAACTGGCTTATCTATTTTACAAAAGGAGCTAGATATGTTTGTAGAGTATAATGTTTCTCAAAGTTATTCGCCAACGTCATCCAGAACTCTTGGCTCTGCCTAGGTGTTGAGTGTGGTGAGGTTGGTGCCTGGAGTTCCTGGTGGCAATAATGTATAAAAATATGCATTTTGTGATGTAATACTTTTTGTGTGTACGTGTTTATTTTCAATTTGGTTAATTCTTTGCCCCCAACCACTCCCCCCCCAACAAAAAAAAAAGATCCTCCAATGTCTTAAATATTTACAATATGAGGGCAATTTCCACTGCAATTCTACCAGTCGGGCGTCAGAGAACCACTAAATAAGTAGAAATTACTTGAATGACAATTACTGCTGCTGCACTTGGCTTCTCTTTATTGTACTCTGTAAAATGAAGGCTTCCCGATTTAATGGGAATTATGATAGATTGCGTTCACTCAATGCTGACTTCAGTGGATGGTAAATTGGCATATAAGCCTTGAGTTGTCAATTGGTGATTATTTGGTAAGGCATTGATTAGGTTGCGGTACTAATCAATGATTGTATTGCTGAGCAGGTTCATCTGCATTGTCAATGATTGGAGCAATTTATTGATGCCTGCTTAGTTGATGATGTTGATCACCCTACTTACCAATCTAATGCTAGGCAATCATGGCAAGGCCTGTTTGGACCATTTAGGAACACTTCTCTTATTTGGTGTTGTAGATCTAGATTGTCTTATATCTTTATAACTCAATTTAATTTTTCATCAAATTCAACTAGTCATAAAAAATAAGTTTAGTGATTTTATGAATATATTAGTGTGATCTTTAGTAAGTTTTTTATATGTTACATAATATTACCTATTATTGGCTTAATGATACTTCTCTATAAGTTTCCTTTATTATCAAATTCTGATGAATGAGTCCTGCTTTTAATTCCCTAGTATTATGATTATACGTGTCCTACTTTTCATCCCTCCTTTCTAAAAATATTTTGTGCTTTAATGAGAAGTATGTGTGCCATATACAGAATTTGCTTTTCATTTTATTCCATGTTTAAAAATGCTTTCAGTCCTAATCCATTTTTTTCAACAATGGAACTGAAATATGGAAAAAAAGGAACTTTGGGTTGTGGTACAATTGATGGGTATTTTTCTAATTTTGTTTTTACCTTGCTCTGTATATAAATGGAAGACTACTGTAGAAGGAAATTACTTGTTGATGCTGCCCCAATTTCCCGACCTAGTTGGCCATTTGACTTGACATGGAGAACTTTAGAAGAGACTGTTGGCCCATACGAAGCATAGAAAAACCCTAATATTATTAAAAAATGCTAGGTGGATCTTAATTGGATTTCCCTCAACTGTGTTGGAGGTGTTGGAGAGACCGTTGAGTGTTTTTGGTTAGCAGTGTTCAGTGACTTACCCGAGTCGACTTGGCTTGGGAGAGTTGCCTGGACTTTCCCTAAGGGTGAGGCCTAGTAGGGTGTACACATATATAAATAGTAAGCATGCCCATTTTATTACAAACAGCACCTAAATGGATTTTTGGCTAGTACGTACAGTCTATAGGTCTCAAGTTCAAGGTTCCAATCCCTAGAGTCACTGATGAATATTTTTATTAAAAAATAACGGGTTCTTTATTTAAAAAATAAGCGGTCATCTGAAGTAGAGGGGTTATGGGGTTAAAAAATGATATCCATCCGTGGGATTTGATCCCTCAACCTCTTGTTGAGGACCCACGCCACCTAGCCGGTGCACCATTTGACTCTTATTTCTTAAAGTATGTTATATGTATATAACTTATCGTTTTTGTTTTCTTTTTATTTTTTAACTCGGGCTGGACTTAGGCGAGTTACTCGTACTCGCCTGAGTAACTCGCCTTGGCCAATGGACAAGTACCTTGCTTGTTAGTGAATCTTCTCTCTATGTATATATGCACAAGAAAGCAAATCCACTGGTGCAAATTTTTAATGCATGTCTGCATCTTTGCGTGCCTTACATCTTCATAATTCCAAGAAGTGAGATTATTCAACCTTCTAATAAGAAATCTTTTTTGTGCAGTTTTGGATCCTTCTTTGGGCCATCTAAGCCAGTTATTGCTCGTAGAGTAATTGAAGAAAACCGTGCAAAGCTTGAGGCAGAACAAATGGCAGCTAAGCTTCCAAAAGCCTCTTCAGTGGTAATGAGCCATCATAATTAATTACTTGACTGTTGGTTTCTTTACTATTGTTCACCTTTTAAGATGTTCTGATTATCACCTACTTCTGATTAGAATAAAAAGTCTCTTTCCTCTGCCACATCAGAGAGAAAATCTGAGCGTGATCGGCGTCCGAAGGTTGTTAATGAGGTATGTCTTTTTCTTTTGTCACTTTCCTTTATTGTGGGACCATTGATCATTGATAACAATCTAATACTTTCTTGGTTGGATTTTCTAGATGAAACTTAAAGTGCAGAAGCTAAAGGACGCAAGAGACTACTCATTTCTAATGTCAGGAGATGCAGAGCTTCCTTCCCCTCCAAAAGAGCATGAGCCCCGAAATGTTCGAGTGCCTTCTTCTGGTATGTCCTTGCATTTATCTCAAGTTTCTCTCTTTCTTGATTGCATCCCTTTATTGTTTTTTTTTTTATGGGGAGAAGGCTTATAAAGGTCTATGCTAATTTGAAAGATGCTCAATCGAAACAATCACCTCCAAGGAGCAACCCTGACAACAGGAAGAAGAAGATGGTCTCTGTGAACCAACAAAGGCAGGCTAAGGCTCGGCCTCCAAAAGTGGATCCTGGTTTGAAGTCTTCCTCTTCTGACCCAATGAAACGTCCCAGTAAGAATGCAGGAAGTGGGCCAGGCCGGCCTCTTGTTTCCAAGTTGCCTCCTAATGGTGCAAAGTTGCCTCCTAATGGTACAAAGTTGCCTTCTTCTAATGGTGGGAAGGTGCCTCAACCTAATGGTGTGAAATTGCCTCCTAAGGCTCCGGTGGCAACAAAAGCTCTGGTGGTAACAAAGGCTCCTTCAGCTCCAGCAGCCGAGAAGAAGAAGTCTTCTATGGGCCCCAGCAACAGTGGAGCCATACAAAAGGCCCCCTTATTGAAGAAGCTCTCATCTGTCGAAAAGCTTGTTAAGAAGTCTCCTCACGGACTGGACAAGCCTTCTGCTAAGGTGGTACCAAAGCCATCATCGATGTCATCTCAACATAAGGTGATGCTTGATACTTGGTTTGGATTTGTTTTTTCTTCCATTGAGTACCTTTTGGTGATTTACAACATAAGGTGGTGATTGATGCCTTGTCTCTAGCTTGGATTTGTTGAAGTTTTTTTCATCTTTTGATTAATGATTTTGGTGATTCACGAGCAAGAAGTAAAATTTTGTTTTTGGCTAAACTATAAGAAACTGAAATGTACAGTGAGATAACCTAATAGGGCAACTTGATGGGGATTTACATTGAAGAACCTCATTTATGTCCAAATTTCACCAAATTTTTTTTATGAAATCTTGTGTGTTCTTTTTGTTACTCATTTGATTTCTTGTTGTTACTTATTAGTGATATCTGGAACATCATTTCCACGTTGGTAACTCTAATATTTATGAAATTTCTTTGGGATGTCTGTACCTACGCAAACATCTTTCGAAGATATTTTTTGTAAACATTTTCCTACAATATATTGTTGATATCTTTTATTTTTACAGGCAAAGTCTGTAAATAACATTTCATCACATCCTACGCATCAAGCGCGCCCTAAGAAGAGGCCTCTAGATAGTTATTCAGATGAAGATGAAGGTGATGGTGAGGATGCTCTTCGTCTCATTAGACAGATGTTTCGGTATGCTTTCCTTTCCTTAGTAATACCAATACTTCAAGTACTCATACTTTACATGCTCATAATGCCTTGTGGTCATTTGTGTTCAATGTAATTGGTTTATTTATGAAAATTTCATGTTTGCAGGTATGATCCTAGTAAATATAAAGGTATCGATGATGATGACAGTGACATGGAGGTTGACTTTAACCGTATCCAGGCAGAAGAGCGGAGGAGGTAAGTCCTTTTCACGAGAAATAAGTATGGGATGATTTTGAAGTTCTCTGAGGCACCAAAGGAATTCACAGCTGCTTTATTACTTCCACATGTGATGGATAATTGACATAAACTAGGATAAATTATGAGATCTATTATGATAGATTATTTCAGATGAGCAATTCAACGGCTTAAAAGTAATTCAAAAATTTATGGAACTTATTTAAAGCATATAATTTCGTGATGAAAATTAGCAATCATGTCTACTAGTGCTTCCAATATAATATATTATAGTTATGGAAAATTGTTCCATGAGTCGGGTATGCATTTCTACATTTGCGTCTCCCGAGTTATAAAGCATCCATCTTAATGATGGATTGCAAATGAGTGGTCCATCTAAAAACAGTTGAAACTAATGTTCCGAATGTTTTTTTCATAAAATCATTATTTTTAATTTTTAAACTTTAGTTATTTTTTCATATTCATGATCTCCATGTTAGAGATTATATATCCTTAAAAATTGGGTTAAAAACTCCATCTCAAAATATATTTTTAAGAAGGGACTCATTTCTTTGTGGACTTGTAGAAATAAAACTATAGTTATTACTCTAGTTTTATTTCTCCATTTGTTTTCTTTCACTTGGAGTTTTATTATAGAAAATGCATTACTTCTTTGGCTGCTGAGCATCAAGTGATTTTATATCTTGTGTGATCCTGTAGTGCAAAGATTGCTAAAGAGGAAGATGAGAGAGAGCTGGCACTAATTGAAGAAGAAGAAAGAAGAGAGAGGGAGAGGAAGGTGAAGCGGCTCAAACTAAAGCATAATCAGCGGTGACATGGGGTGTCATATTAATTTTTTTCTCTTGGTTTTGTTTCAATTAATTGTCTATCCATTGGCTTCTTTTCTCATATCTCCACCGCATTGAGAATTACCTATTCTTGGTCAGCTTTTCTATCAATGTGGGAATTCCCTACGGGAAAAATGGATGGGCTGTCTGTAAGAGCTGAGAAAGTCCTTTCTTGTAGTGGATATTTCTAGTTTGAAATTACATGGTTTCAGTTTATCCCCATTTGTATGCAGCAATAATGATGATAATATGTACAGAGCTCTCCCTGTTTCTCATGAGAAATTAGCTTTATGCATTCTTCTTTCCTTGATTGCCCCATATATCATCGGGTGATGTACACACTTGATTTGACCACCAAACTTGGAAACCTAATCCTTGTTTTTTTAGTGCATGACTATGTATATTAGGAATTGCAGTTGTATTTATTTATTTGCACTTGTTCGAATATATAGGTATTAAGACAGTCTAGGCATGCGTTACCCATTGTTGCATGGACTCGGACGCGAACAAGGACACAGGTGTTGTGTCTAGTATGTGTCTAGTACTTTGGCAGAAAAACCCCCCCTGATATGTCCGTATATACCATTTAAAGTGAAAGCAAGGTCTACTCTGTGGACATGATTCTTTCAAGTTAAAGCATATGACGACGCTTTATACCAAGGTTAAAAAAATAGGCGATCCGGATTTGCCCGATCTTGACTGGAAAACATATTGAGGGATCCAGATTATCCTCTCAACGAAACCTGTTTCAAGGTGATCCGGATCGGCAATTCACTAACCAAGTGAGTATACTGTGCTTTGGAAACATTTTTTTGTTTAATTTTTTAAACACATTATTTAGTTATTTATTTGAATTCTCTAAAATTTAGAGAATTTAGGGCCTAATACTACACCTTTTACGGAATTGAAATTTTCAAAACTCTCCAATACTTGTATCCACGGGCCTATCACCAACAAAGTACAATTTTATTTCGTCGTGCACATTTGCTAAGCGTGACATTTGAATGGGGAGAGTGGAATTTATAGACGTGCCTCTCCACTTTCGATGTGGGACAAATCTCTGTCTGGATGTGCATTGTAGGATTGAAGAATGACCTGTATGGGTTGACTGCCTTTTATTTTAAGTTTATTGTTTGGTGAAATTATGGGGTTGATTGCCTCTGTTTTATGTTCGATGTATGGTGAAATTACGGGTTAATTGCCCTTTATTTTAAGTTTGTAGTTTGGCGAAATTCGTTCCAACTTTTTTGGAAGAAAAAAAAAAGAATATACATACTACGTGGTTCGTTCGTTTACATATGGTGTGATCTCTCTCTCTCTCCCCCCCTAACAACGTATTCTAATATCTGTTTTATATATTTTATTTAAAAAGTCTAAACTTTTAAGTTAATACAAAATATTACAAAAAGAAAATGAGTTAATAGAGATCCATTTATTGCCATGAATTGCATTTTAGAATTCATTTTGACTATCAAATGAATTTAATAGATAATAAACACCCAGAACATAGGATTTACATATTCGTGACACAAAAATGAAAAGCCATTTGCAATTGCCACTATTGTTTTTAGAAACCCAAAGAACTACATTTTTGAGAAATTATAGTGATTTTTTAAAAAATTTTGAGGCCAAGGCCAGCCAATCCAATCGATTCTTCAGTCCGGATCGCCGATCGACTGATCTGAAATGATCTTTAAGGTGGCCGATCATTTTTTAAAACCTTGCTTATACAAAAGATGTCGATACATACTAATTTCCTCTGAAACAACTCGATACATATGGTTAGGGTGTTGAACACATGTCTAGACGCTCTGACACACGACACATAGAATTGGGTAGGTCTAACCAGTCCAAATTAGTTAAATAATGATTTTGATTAGTTTTTTTTATTAAATTTGATTTGTGTTTTAGACCGTCAAAGCAACAATGATATGATTGGTTGGACCTAGCAGTCCCTTGCAGATTTGCAACTTGTCGGATGGAGGCAATGCATGGTTACAATCTCCTTGAGTGCACCATGTGGAGATAATCGTGATTCTCTTTCGAGAGAAGGTTTTGGTTGGGTTGGATTGCATTGACCTCAGCTTGGGTTTGAGTCCAACTTTTGCACCTCCAACATTGGGTCCGAGTCCACAAGCGTGGACCCAAGCAATTCCACAGTCGGGGTCCGAGTCTAGGTTGAACTGATCTCACCCAAATAAATGTATTATAAAACTCTATAACATATAACATCCTGCAGTAATATTAAATATTATATTTATAAATTATATAAAACAATGTATATTTTATATATCAATAAAGGAAGAATATAGGAAAGAGGAATGGGGGCTTCAAGTTTTCCAATTTTAATTCCAAACTATGCTCCAAGATCTCCACCGTTCATTATATTGGATAATGGACTATGATTATTTTTGTAAATTCATTAGTACCAAAGAGATAGAATCAGGGTTTCAAACACATAAAAGCTATATTTTTATTTTATTCTTTAACCAATATGCTTTTAGTCGATTTTATAGCAATAATTTTCAATCTAATCCTATATGGATTGACGCTTGGCAGGATAGCACGTAGAATTGGAGAAGGGATGTTTTATATATGGGTGGGGATTGCACAACCTGTCAACCTTAAACAATCAAAGCAGACCTCAAAATGTTCTCCAAAAAGAGGTAATTTTGTTGTAGAATTTTCTTTTTCATGAAATTGATATGAAAAGGTTTGCAGGTACACCTGCCCTCGCTCAAAAGTTTGGATCTAAAAATCTTGCTTTGGCAGCGAAGCCGATTCCCAAAAAGACCACGCTTGCTTCCAAGATTATCGATAGCGATGTCGGGCAGTAACTTCGTGGGAGGCCTACTCTCTTGGATTAAAATATTGTTTTCCTCCTTCCTCTCTTTGGAAGGAAGTGGAGTTGAAAAGGAAAACTCTCTCAACCTTGCTGGTTCTTCTCTTTTTGCTTCTTCTTCGGGCTAAGAACAAGCTGTCCGTGTTGTGCTTCCATCAAAGGCTGTCAAGCCTGCTACTGTTTTTCGCATGGAAATCTAAGATGTATCCTCTTCCCTTTCATCTTGCTGCTACTAAGGCTTCAACAAAGAAATCATTCGATCCTCTCTTGATCATCCCTCTAGCTATTATGGTTGTTGAAGATGATGATGGTCCTCAAATTCCTCTACTCCTTGCTAATGAATCTGTTGTTGATGCTGCCGAAGTTGATCCTGCCTTAGATTTGATCCTATCGGAGTCCTTTGAGGAGGTTCCCCTAGATGTCCTACTGCAGGAAGAGGTTATCCCTTCACGTATTTCTGCACCGGTGATTGAGGAGATGCCTTGAATGAGCCATCATTAGTAGGCAAAATGATGGATGATATGGGTATGGATGATGTTCTTCTGAGTATGGTGATGTTGGAAATCAGGGAGCGTAGGAGGACTAGACTGGTTGTTGAATAAGATATGGTAAGAGGGAAGAAAACTAGGAAGGTCTCTTTAGTGGAGTCAGGTTCACTTGACAAGACTCCTGCTAAAGGGCCTGCCGCTGGCAAAAAGAGCAAGACCCTTATGAAGGGAGTTCGTTCAAAAAGAGCAAGACTGTTATGAAGGGAGTTCGCTCTTCAGTGCGACTACAAGCTCGTGGTATTCCTAAAGGTGGTTCATTAGTGACTGCAATTGCCTTCTGCGACCCGACAATGGTGGATGTGGACTCTTCCTCGATTTCTTCCTCCGGAGATGATGAGCTCGATGAGGCACTTATGCTAGAGGAGATGTACTTCGGTTATGGTCCTGATGGACCAGATTCCTCCTCTAACCCCTCTCTTCCTATTTTTTAATGAATTTTTTATCATGAAATATTCGGGGCATAGGCCATCCTAGTAGGAAAAATGATGTTATATTGCTGGTCTCTCTAAGTATATGCCAGTTGATTTGATTTTACAAGAAACAAAGCTCTCCAGTCCCAATGCGTCTGGGGCTCGAGAAATTTGGGGAACTATTGTTGTTAGTTTTTGTGGTATTGATGCTAATTGTGTATCGGGGGTGGGGTTATGGGTCCTATGGGACCCGTTGGTTATGCTAAACTTTGAAGTTATTAAAGGGATTGTTTTTTGCTTTTGGGTTTCAATGGTCCAAAGGTGGGTTTTCTTGGGTTTTTTTGAATATCTATGGAACCACTATTTTTGCTCTTAAATAAGGTTTTCTTAACTAATTAATTCAGTCCTGTTCTTATCTTGTGGTGGTTGGAGGGGACTTTAACCTTATATGGTGGCCGGATGAATGTTTAGCTGGTACACCTATTAGTACTTTGATGAGAATGTTTAATAGGTTATTGAGACTAATTCCTTCTTGGATTCTCCTATTATTGGTTATAAGTTTACGTGGTCTAATAATAGTATTATTAACCTATCAATGTCCAAACTTGATAAATTTTTTATATCAATGGAGTGGATGAGGAAATCCCCCTTAGCTTCTGTCAAGGTTCTGCCCAGAATTTCTTCCGATCATTGTCCTATTTTGTTGAACACTGGTCACCTAAAAGGTGGTCTGAAACCTTTTAGACTAGATATGGGATGATTGGAGGAAAAAGATGCCGTTGAATTGATTAGAGGAGCCTGGGTAAATATTGTTGTGGAGAGTACTTTGGACTTCTAATTACATAGAAAGCTTTTAAATATCAAACACAAACTAATTGCTTGGAAGAGAGATAATAAGTTTGATATTAAAGCCAAACTTGATGAAGTCCTATCTGAAATTGAGATGTTAAATTTTAATTCCATGCGATTGCTAATGCTAGAAGGAGGCAGAATGATCTTTCTAGATTGTCTATCCCTGGGATTGACTCAGATGATGATTCTACTATTGAAGAGGCAGTTATTAGTCATTTTAAGAAGGCTTTTCCCAAAGAGGTTAAGTTTTCACCGTATTTTGTCAGAGTCCCATTTAAAGTTCTGCCTATGGAGATGATGAATACGTTGGAGAAAGAGGTTTTTATGGAGGAGGTGTATAAGACAGTGTTTGCACTTTCTGGAGATAAAGCACCAGGGCTTGATGGTTTCCCTTTAACATTCTTCCATAACTATTGAAATTTGGTGAAAGGTAAACTTCTTGGGGGGATATTTTTAAATGGGTGAATTCTACATTTTTGGCCCTAATTCCCAAGAAATATGTGATTTTTAATTTGTCTGTCAGTAGACCGATAAGTTTACTCACAAGTCTCTAAAAATTTATTGCGAAAGTTTTGATCGAAATATTGAAGATTGTCCTGCCCCTCTTTATTTTTAGTACCCAATTTGCTTTTATCCAGGATCGCCAATTACAAACAGTGTACTTGTAGCACAAGAATGCATCCATTCTAAAGTCTTGAGTAAGAAGCAGGGCATTTTGTTGAAGCTAAATATAGAAAAGGCATATGATCGAGTTGAATGAGGGATTTTGTTAGAAATTATGAAAGTTATTGGTTTCGGAGAGCGATGGAGGAGTTGGATCTAAAGTTGCCCTTCATCTACTCATTTCTCGATGCTTTTTAAGGGCAGCCCAATTGGGTTTTTCAAAGCCTCTAGAGGTCTTCAACAAGGGAACCCGCTTTCTCCTTTCTTATTTACTATTTATGCTGAATGTATCATTTTGATGTTAAGCAAGGTGGAGAGAGTGTGTCAGTTTGAGGGATTCAAACTTGCGGACTCTTACATTGTAATCTTTCATTTGCATTATGCAGAAGATACTCTAATTTTATGTGATGCTGATCCTCTTCAAGTCAGAAATATCATCAGATATTTGGAAATTTGTGAAGTCACACTTGGCTTTAAAGTAAACTTCATCAAATCTTCTATGGTGGGCATTAATTGTGACGTGGAATTGGTTGTTAATTTAACTAATATGATGGCTTGTAAAATGGCATCTTTTCCTATTACCTATCTTGGCCTACCTATCTCGGACTTAGGACTTTCTATTGCTGTCTGGGACAAAGTGATTGACAGAATCCAACTAAAACTTGATCTCAAAAAACATAAGTACTTGTCATTGGGTGGAAGGGTGACTTTATTGAGATCTTGTTTGGCCAATCTTCCAGTATATCATATGTCCTTGATTAATATGCTTGCATCGATTGCAAAAAAAATTTGAAAAAATGATGTGGGATTTCCTTTGGGGTTCAAAGAATGAGAGAAGGAAATTTCATTTACTTAGATGAGATAGAGTATGTACTCCAAAAAAAAAAGGCGGTTTGGGTATAAGGAAGATTAATTTAGTTAATCAAGCTTTAATGTGCAAATGGTGGTGGCGCAGTCATCATTAAAGGATTAGCTAGGTATCAAGTTTTAGAATTCAAGTATGGTGTGGATGGATTCAATGGATGGCTTGGGGGTGGTAGTGGCAGAGATACATCACAGATTTGGAGGCCTATGTATGTTGTAGGCCGGTGATCTCAGGTGGAAAGTAGGTTGTGGTAGTAAAATCTTTTTTTGGCATCATAAGTGGATTGGGCTGTACCTTTTAAAGTTTGTTTTGTCATAATTGTTTGGGATTGTCTTGAGGCCTAATTTAAAAGTTAGTGAAGTGGTAGAAAGAAGGGGTCAGAATATTTCTCGGAATATTCCTTTGGCCAATAGACGATTGAACAATTTACTACTTTCTCAATGGTGTGCACTTATGAAATTGCTGGATAAGATCTATGTTTCGCAAAATGCGAAGGATGACATGGTTTGGGAGATTGAGAGTGATGGGGTGTTTATTGTTAAATCATGCTACAATCTACTTTTTCATGATCGCTGGAGAAGGTCATATCCGCAAATTGCTCAAATATGGAAATGGCCGATACCCCACAAAGTTCAAGTTTTTGTTTGGCTGGCTTTCTGAACAAGGTTTTGACCATTGATAACTTGATAAAAAGGGGAAAAATTCTGCCGAATGTGTGTTTGTTATGTAAAGCTGATGGTGAAACTAGTGCACATCTATTTATTCATTTCCCATTTACGGTGAGATTGTGATATTGGTTGTTTGATGTTTTTGGCATTAATTTGGTCATTCCCCAATCTCTGAAGGGGATAGCCTCTCAATTTACACTTCCTCATCTGCCTAATGTGGGTAAGATTATTTGGAGGATAGCTAAAGGCGTCATACTTTAGGAGGTATAGAAAGAAAGAAATAGAATGACCTTTGACAGGAATTTTTATTCCTTTTAACATGCTACTTCATTCTATTAAGCTGTCAATCTGATCATGGCCATCAGTGCTAAAAGAGGGAGGGGGTATCTCTAAGGTAGATGTATGGCTAACCTACATAATCTTTGTCATCTTGGCTGTGTTAGAAGTAGACCGAGACATATCTAGCATGCGCCTCCTACTGGTAACATGAAACTCAACTTCGATGGTAGCTCCTTTGGTAACCTTGATTTCGCCGGAGTATGTGGAGTCTTGCATGACTGTTTTGGAAACATCCTTTTCTCTTATGCTGGTCCGATAGATTGTGCAACTGCTAAGTATGCTGAACTTAGTGCATTACTTAATGGGTTAAAGATTTTCATTTATAGGAATTATGGTAACAATTGCTGGATTGAAGGGGACTCTCTATATGCAATTAGGTGGTGTAACAAGAAATATTGTATCCCATAGGAATTGCGGCCTTTATGGTTGTAGATTATTGCGGCCTTTATGGTTGCGGATTATGGATTTGATGTCTTCCATGTCAGTTTCTTTTTCTCATGTCTATCGTGAAGCAAACTCTAATGATGTAATTTCATTTTCTTAGTACTCAATAAAAATAGTAACCTTTGTCAAAAAAAAAATTTTGTTCATGAAAATCTATTTTCACCTCTAGCTATGAAATTGAAAATATAAAAAATAAGGTAGATTGAGCCGATCTATAAATAGTTGAAAATCTGGAAAATGGATGATCTAAATAATATATCACAAGATATGCTATTTTTAAGAATTGAAATCTTTTTTTTTTGCCTATATCCATACATCTCAAAGTCGAAATAATTAATTAGAGAGTTTTCTAAAATCAGAATAACTTTTTCTAATGGGTTTCAGAGACTCGCCGTACTTCTATAATATAAGGTTGAAACCTTATATAATTATATTTTATTTTTATGTATGAGAGGCTAGCAAAAATTATTTCATGCATCACGGGAGACAGTTCCACAACTGCATCCCCAACACGTCACACGTCCATCTTTGATGGGATAAAATTGTGGCCTCACCAAAAATTAAAGGGTGTGGTTTGGATAAGGTCAGAACATAAACAATCAAATTAAGGTGCGCCTAAAATTTTTATCATAAATGTAATTTTGGTGCAAAAAATTCTTAAGATGGCTTGAGAATCTATTTTGATATCTAATTATAAAAATTTTAAACTTTAGAAATATTTCAAGTCATGTAGATCTATAAACACATGAAAATCTTGCAAATTTACTATTCAAATTACGTGTTGCAAGGTACAGTATTTTTGAGACTCAAAATATATATATATATATATTTTTATGTTCATATATCTTGATGTTGAGATGATCAATTGGAGGGTTTTCCAACATTGATGGACTTCCCTTTTATAATGGACTTTTGAGATGCACTTCAATTCTACATTTTAAGGTTTCAACCTAATATAAACTTTTTCCAAAATTAAAATAGATATGGTTAAAATATATAAAAATACGTTCTAATTTTTAATTTATTTTTTCTTTTTATATTCATGTTAACCATGGTTCAGATTCTCGACCATGACATCTTTTGATCCAAAAGATGGAGGGAGGAGTTACCTAAATAGGTAAGCGGACTCACCAAAACCTCACCCTTTAAACTACCGCTCCTTTAAGGAAAATTTTTAAGGTAAATCAATTTGAATTCTACAATTTCAACGTATCCGTCATCGTAAGGTGAAACCAGCCTTTAAAATTTTCGAATCGGTTCCCTACTATGCTACAATTTAAAAGGTCTACTTGAATCGGGTCCGTGTCTGGGTTTGGGTATGCGTCTGCGTCTGCGCAGCCATGTATTGGACCCATCGGCTCGGGTCCAGGTCCGAATCCTTGGACCC